TTTGGGGCCCATCAAAGCCCCCCCGTTTGGGGGGGCCCTTTGCTGCGGCCTTCGCTGCCCCCCGCCCCATCGCGCGACGCCCATGCGGGGCTGGCCCCCCCACCCCCGCCGCTCCTGATCCTCGCCCCTCCCAGCAATGACCCTCCCTCCCTCCTAAGAATTCAAAAAGCCCAAGGCTCCGCCAAGTTCCCATAACCCTGTGCTCGCGATACTCACCCCCTGGGGATACTAAGGTTCGGGGATACTAACGTTCCCGGAGGTCCCAACTAATGAAGATGATGGCGATAATGATGATCGGGATGATTCGAAACGTCCATGAGACTAGTGAGCGAATCCATAGGAATCCTGCAGGAATCCAGAGGAAACCGATGGACATCCATAGGGCTCTTTAGGATATCCATAGGATTCCGCCAGCAATCCTATGGTTCCCCAAAGACATCCATGGGATTCCTGAAGAAATCGCAAACTTGATGTGGGACATGTTCAAGAATCCTTAGGAACTCCTCCTCCTCCGGAGGAGGAGGGTGAGCCCCAGGACCGTTTTTCACAAAAAACTTCGGTTCGGGACCTACGGTTGTGTATGTAAAATACAACGCTTAAACATCAGTTTCAACTGCGCATGTGTAGGATGAACCCATGGTGGCTCATTGGCGGGGATAGAACACAGCGGGAATAAAACAAATTCGGGAACCTGAAGAATCCTTGCTATTCAACATAAGAAAGGAACCGCTTCGATTCACAACTTCCCCCCGCGATTATAAAACTCGGCCTTGCCGCCTCGCCCCCTGACCAAACATGCATTGACCGGGGATGATCAACTGCAATGGTAAAAGGGGGACCTGTTCATTATCCGAAGATGGGGGTTATTTGTTTGACTGTTGTCTTCCCCCCCCCCAACCCTATATTTTCCCATAGTGTCACCTGGTGATTAACGCGAATAAACGGGGCGCGGGCTCAAACGAATGGATCCTCTGCTGGGGCAAATCGCGGCGGAAGCGCCCGCCAAATGGAACAACACGGCGGCGGCACCAGTGGTTAGCGCCGACACCGGGCCGACAGCAGGAAAGCGACAAACGCGACGCAAGCGGCGCCGTTTCAACGGCGGGGGACAGCAGCGCTTCCGCTATAGCGAGCCGCTTGGGCCCCTTCTGGCTACAGACAAGAGACACAGAGGAGGCGCGGGAAGGAAACGCCTCAGATGGCGGGCCGTGCCGACATGGCCACAAACAACAATTACTCCGACGGAAGAACCCCACATAAGAATCCTCTGGGCGAATCTGGAAAAACCCAACACCGTCGCCCTCGTGGTTGGTGAGGCGTCCTGGCTGTCCCTTCTGCGTATATTTCCTCTCGCCTTGGCGCGGGCCCCCCTTCCACTCCTTGCGTTGTCCCCATCCTCGCCCCCCTGTTTGTTCCGCGCCCCGCCACCTCCTCCCCTTCCTGTTGCATGAGCGCGCATGTCGATGTTCCTCGGCGCCGTCGCCGCCACGGCCAGCACAGGCGCGTTCTCTACTGGTCACGTCGCGCAGCCGTTGGGACAACCCCGCGGGCCAGGCTGTCGGGACAACCCCGCGAGCCGTTGGCGCGCAAGACCAAGCCGTTGGGACAACCCCGCGGGCTTCGAGCGAGGCGCAGCCGCGCTCAGGCGGAAGGCAGCACGTCTGCCGCGAGCTGCTTCGCCTCCGCCCTGGACAAAACCGGTCGAACTCCAGGAGCGCCTTCCGCAGGGACGCCGGCGGCCCGCACTCCAGGAACTCTCGCGGCGGCGGCCGCAGGATCAGCATGTTCCGCATGCACGTGGCGCGGGAGAACATGACGTAGAGGTGCAGCCACCACTGCTCGTCCGACATGCCCGTGCGGCCAGCGTCCTCGTCTCTCGCGCAGTCGATGGTGACGCCCTTGCGCAGCGTCTGGCCCTGCGACAGCCAGGTGGACAACCCCGAGCGGCGCACGCTGTGCGCCCCCGAGCTCTGCCATGTGAACTCCCTTTCGCTGGGCCTGAACATCAGCAAGCTCCGCGCCCGCGCCTCGGCCTGGCCGTCGTCGTCGGCGCCTTCGGCGCCCTGTCGCAGCACCTCGGCGACCTGAGGAGCCCAAAAACTTCCTTGTTGCGTCCAAAATGTGGCCTGGGAGCTGCGTTCTGGCAGCGCGAGAACCCAAAATTGACGACAGTTACAGGTTTTGGATGACCCGCTCGGATTACCAACATGATCTGCGGGCCCCATAGGGAGGGGGCTCCCGCCTGAGACTTCCTCGCAGTTCACTCACAGACGAGGCTCCCGCCTGAGACTTCCTCCATATTCAAGCTTGAGGAGCCCAAAAGTGACGACAGTTACAGGGTTCCGATGACCCGCTCGGATTACCAACATGATCTGCGGGCCCCATGGGAGGGGGCTCCCGCCTGAGACTTCCTCACAATTCACTCAAAGACGAGGCTCCCGCCTGAGACTTCCTCCAAATTCAGGCTTGACGAGGCCAAAAGTGACGACAGTTACAGGGTTCCGATGACCCGCTCGGATTACGAACGTGATCTGCGGGCCCCATAGGGAGGGAACTCCCGCCTGAGACTTCCTCCCAATTCACTCACAGACGAGGCTCCCGCCTGAGACTTCCTCCATTTTCAGGCCTGGGGAGCCCAAAAGTGACGACAGTTACAGGGTTCCGATGACCCGCTCGGATTACCAACATGATCTGCGGGCCCCATAGGGAGGGGGCTCCCGCCTGAGACTTCCTCACAATTTACTCAACGATGATGAGGATGAGGATGATGAGTGGTGGTGAAGATGAGTGGTGAAGAGGATGATGATTGATTGTGAGTGGTGGTGGCGATGATGATGTTTGAATGAGGATGATGCCGATGCCGATGATGATGATGATGATGTTCGTGAGCGTGTGAGAGAGTGCGAGTGATGATGATGATGAGTATGTGAGTGACTAAGCATGTGAGAGAGCATCATCGATGATGCTGATGAGGTTGATGATGAGAGAGTGTGAGTGAGTGTGAGTGGGTGTGTGTGTGTGTGTGTTCCTGTTCCTGCGCGGGGTGTCCAGAGAAAACAAGAACCCCACTTTGGATGTGGGGAAATAGGAAAGGGCGGAAAAGCAGCATAGGAAGGCGGAAAAAGGTTTTTTTGTTCTTTCTCCACCTCCTCCCCACTACAGTGTCCTACGACAACGGCGACGGCGACGGCGGACGACGACACACTGCGTATGCTTCACGGGGGGGGGAGGGGGGGGCTGCGTATGCCCGCACAAATCGACGACAACGACGACGACGACGACGACGACGACGACGACGACGACGACGACGACGACGACGACGACGGCGGCGGCGGCGGCGGCGGCGGCGGCGACGACGACGACGACGACGGACGACGATGCTCTGCGGATGCTCCAGCGGGGGGACCCTGCGATGCGAATCCCGCTGCATTCGACGACAACGACGAAGACGACGACGAAGACGACGACGAAGACGACGACGACCCACTGCGGATGCCTCAAGTGGGGAGGGGGAGATGCTGTGAGGCCCACTTTTGTCGACGACGACGACGCGACGACGACGGACTACGACGACGAGGACAACGAGGATTACGACGACGACGACGATCCACTGCGGATGCTCCAGTGGGGAGGGATGCTGCGCAGGCCCGCTGTTGTCGACGACGACGACGACCACTGTGGCACGTCAGTAATCAGCCTGAGAGGGGGGCAAACTCCGCCTCGGATGCGTACGATCCCGATACAAACTTATATGCGACATGCGATCGTTCTGAGGCTGTCGTGCAGGGGGGTGCCCGATCCCCTCGGCGGCGTCCGCGACGACCCCCTGGCGCGCGTGATTGAAAAAATGGTTTCGCGCCACGCGGGGTCTACTCATCCGCCCAGAGTGGGGTGGGGATCCATCACTTGTTTATCACAAGCTGACATTACTCCTGGGAAGCGTCAAATTGACCCAGACTTCCTGCGGCACTTTACGAACCAGATCGATCTGATGTGGCCCCCCGGAGCCCGAGAGCGAGCGCGAAGATGCCCGGCGCGAGACGAGGGCAGCGCCAGGATGCCAGGGCCGAGGAGGGCCGTTCCCGAGAGAGAGGAGAGGAGGATCTCCTCTCCTCTCCTCCTCCTCCTCCTCCTTCTCCTCCTCCTTCTCCTCCTCCTTCTCCTCCTCCTTCTCCTGTCCTCCCTGCCTCCCTCCCTGCCTCCTCCGTCCCCCTGAAAAGATCTCCGCGAGGAGGGACAGGGCGCCTGTCCAGGAGAAGGATGCCCCGTCCGTTGCCGCCGCCATTGAGGCTCGGCTTCAGGAGCCTGCAGGGGGCAAAAAGGTACGTACACCGATTCCGCTACTCATCGGACCTCTCCTGGGGTACATTCCGACCAGAATCTCGAGGCGAACCCAGCCGTGGCGACGAGGTCCTCCCGGGAGGCCCAAGAAGGCAAAGATGAGAGTAAGAGTTAACAATAATGCGATGCCGTGTTTTGCACCACATCCCGAGTGGGTATCTTGATTTCTCTGGGCACCCCGCACAGGAACCTCATCACCCCTCTTCTCACCACCAACATCCTCATCCTCATCCTCATCCTCATTCTCATCATCATCCTCAACATCATCATCATCACCATCATCATCATCATCATCAGCATCATCATCAGCCTCAGCATCATCAGCATCATCAACATCATCATCATCACCATCACCATCATCATCATACTCCCTTTCCGTTCAGTATCACCGCCCTCTTACCTCCTTTCCACTATCACTCCACCACACTCGCTCATACACCCGCACACTCATCTAGAGTAGATCTCGAGCGGGAGCCTCGTCTGTGCGTGAATCGCGGGGAGTGCCGAGCGGGAGCCCCTCCCTATGGGGTCCCCACCTCTTGTTGGTAATCCGAGGCGGCCATCGGGATATCATGAGAAAACACAGGTTAGCTGACACCCGCCTGGGAGTCTGAATCCCGAGGGAGTCTCGAGAGTGAGTCTCCTTCCTGCCATCTCATGTTGGCAATCCCGGGGGGGCATAGGAACACCCTGTAGAAACACAGGTTTGGTGACACCTGGGAGCCTGAATCCCGAGGGAGTCTCGAGCGTGAGCCTCGTTCCTAAGCAAACTGAAAGGATGTCTCGGGTCACGGGCGCTCACTCATCTGTGTGAATTGCGAGGAGGTTTCGAGCGGGAGCTTCCTCCTTATAGGGGTCCCCGCTTGATGTTACTAATCCGAGATGGCCATCATAACATCATATACAAGCACAGGTTCGGTGACACCTGGGAGTCTGATCCTTGAAGAATGCTCGAGCGGGAACCTCTTTCTTTTGTCGAGCGTCCCTTGGAATCCGAGGCGGCCATCCTCAATCCAACCTGTGAGCTTCGGCAAGGGCAAGGAGATATCAGACATAAAGAACGCCTCCGTAGTCACAAGGACGACGATGCGAACTACCTCCACATTAGTTTGGAAGATGCTCATGTGGGGTCCCCCCCGCCAGAATAATTTCAATACGGGGGTGCCCAGACATCCCGACCCCTCCCCCAGGGCAAGATTTTCATGCCGAGTCGTTGTTGCGGGCAGTACTTGTATCCATATCCAATGCGTCTTGGACTTTCTTGGAAGGGGCGCCGCAAGGCCGAGGCGCACCAGATGTGTATAACATCTAGCCTTTTGGGGCCAGATATGAATTCATGTCCAGTGCGCCTCAGTTTTTGGCAGGAGAGCCCGAAACTCCAAGACGCTCTGGATGTGGATATAGACATTGCCCGCAGCTGTTGGACGGCCCCGGGGCCCGGGCGAGGGCCCCTGGAGGCCGAACGCTGACCGAAACCTCGCGTCGTGCTGCGGCGCCGCAAGCCTGTCGGGGGGTCTGTGGAGGATCGAGGCTCGAGGCTCGAGGCGAACGAGGCTAGCGAGCGAACGCGAGGCGCGAGGTCTGTGGAGGCCTCGCGAGGTCTCGTGGTCTCGCGAGGTCTGTGGAGACCTCCTCGTTCGGTCCTCCACAGATCCTCCGAACGAGGTCTATGGAGGCTCGACATGCGCGCGGCGTGCTTGTGCTCGCCGCGCGAGCACGTCTGGGATTCCCCCCTCTGATCGGGGGCGCGCAAACATGGATTAGCGATCCAGGGATTTGGCACGCGGTCGCCAAATCCATGGATCGGGGGAAATGCCCTCCCCCAAATGCGGCCGGTGCCGCCTCGCTCGGCGGCGTAAATCCGCGATTTCCCATGGAAACGGGACCCGTCGCTAATCCACGCCCCCTTGATCCATGTTTGCGATCGCCTGATCACAGCTGCAAACGTGCAAGTACCTCCAACATGGGATCCACCCTCCCCCACCTGGTCCGCATCCGCGGATTTGAGCCCCTCCTAGCTGTGGGATCCGATGAATTCGACTGATTTCCTCCAGAGGCGTCGACTCTTTGGCAGTTTCGGGGGGGGCACAACGGTGGGGCTGGGGCAGAGGGCGGGGCTGGGAGGAAAATCGATCCATGTTTTGCCTACCTACCAGACCACCCCAACCCAACCCGAAGACGCGAATTTCGGGTTGGGGGGGGGTAAGGGTTCCACATGTGTTTTTTCCCCCGACCCCCCCCCACTGGAAATCGAGGGTAAATCTGAGCCTTCGGGTTGGGTTGGGGTGGTTTGGTGGGTGGTGAGGTTTGCGATCGCCCGATCCGAGAGCCACGCGTTGGCGCGCAGCAGCCCCAGCTGCCAGGGCCCCGCCAGGGCCCGCAGCAGGCGCCGCGCCTCCTCTTGGCGGCACGCGCGCACGGGGGGGGGAGGTGGCGCGAGGAGGAGAGAACTAAGAAGAGGAGGAGGAGGAGGAGGAGGAGGAGGAGGAGGAGGAGGAAGCGGCGGGGGCGTCTGAGAGGGCAGAGGGGGCTTCTCAGAAGGCGAGGGGGGGGCCTTCCCTGAGGAGGGCGGGGCCTTCTCCTGGAACGGCGGGCCTTCTCTCTGAGAAGGCGGCGGGGGCGTCTGAGAGGGCAGTGGGGCTGCTTGGAAGGCCGGGGGTGCCTCCTCCAAGAGGCGGCGGCGGGGCCTTCTCCGAGAAAGAAGCGGCGGGCCTGCGCCGACTAGGCGGCGGGCCGTCTCTCCAAGAGGAGACGGTGGCGCGATAAGGGCGACCTTCTCTGAGAAGGCGGCGGGGCCTCGAAGAGCGGAGGAGGAGGAGGAGGAGGAGGAGGAGGAGGAGGAGGAGGAGGAGGAGGATGAGGCCGCCTCGCAGAAGCTCGCTCGGCTTCTGAGAACCTTCTTAGAAGCTTCCAGGCCTTGTTATACCTACTGTTGACCGACGTTCCTGCCATACTAAAACTTGCGGCATTCAATATTCCGTCTGCGGACACCTCTTGGGCCAATCCCCCGCCAACAAAGACATGTCCAACAACTGCGTTTTTGCTCTCGGGCGTACAACGCTCAGAGCCTCCACCAAGCAACATAATATCAAACTAACAATTCCGCTTCCGACACACTCTCACACCCATACATACATATTCCTACTTATTTTACCCTACCTAGGCTCTGCCTAGAAAGGTTCTTACTGTGTATGTTTAAAAGGGCCGGGCAGTGGTCCTCGTCCCGGGCGGTTCCCCCAGCATCCGCCCCGCGGTTCCCCCAGTTGCGTCCCCTTAGCTTAGCGTTGCTTATATCATCTGAGCTTAGCTTATGTCATCGTAGCTTAGCTTAGCTTCGTCTTAGCTCAGGTTTGTCTTTGCTTAGCTTACCTTCATCTTAGCTTCGCCGAGCTTTAGCATAGCAGAACACAGCATAGCATAGCAGAGCGTAGCACAGCATAGCGCAGCACAGCCTATCATAGCAAAACCCAACATAGCATAGCATAGCGCAGCATAGCATAGCATAGCGCAGCACAGCACAGCATAGCACCGCGCAGCATAGCATAGCATAGCATAGCATAGCATGGGTGTCATTCCCTACATAGGCTCTGCCTAGAGGGTTCGCTTAGCTTTGCTTAGCTTAGCATAGCGCAGCGCTGCATTAGCATCGCATAGCATAGTACAGTATAGCCACGCATAGCATATCATATCATAGCAAAGCGCAGCATAGCTTAGCATAGCATAGCATAGCATATCATAGCATAGCACAGCATAGCGCAGCTTGGCATAACATATAATAGCATTGCATAGCTTAGCATAGCACAGCGCAGTCTGACATAGCATAGCATAGCATAGCACAGCATAGCGCAACATAACATAGCATAACATAACATAGCATAGCGCAGCATAACATGGCATGGCATGGCATAGCATAGCAACTAATGCTGCTTTCCTAGGGGCTCCAACTTCTAGGTAGGGTCGCACTGGGGTATTTGTTTTATAGGGCCGGGGACCCTGGAAAAAACGCCCCCCCCCCCCCACCTAACGAATTTCAGACGCCGGGGCTGCTTGAAGCCCCCCCCGGGCTGCTCGGACAGGTTCCTTCGGCCTTCCGGCCTTCTCGGGAGGTCCAAGGAGGCCTCTAATATTGCCCAAGACAGCTCGTCGACAGTTCCAAAGCACACCAAAACCTTCAACATGGTTTCCAAACGCCCCAAGAAACCTCCAAGAAGCTTCCCAAGAGGGCCCGAAGGGGCAACATTCATTGATTTTTCAATTGTGTTTGAAGGCTCTTTCGGTTTTCGCATTTCCGGGACAAGAACGGCCCAAGACGGCCTAAGCGGGTTCAAAAATCGTCCCAACACGGCCCCAGAGGCCCCCCAAAGGGCTCGAAAACGGCCCAAGAAGGCCCCTGGACGGCCCAAGAGGGCCCGAAAACTACCAAGGGAGTTCCAAGACGGCGCTAAGAGAGCCTCAGGAGCACCCCAAAAGGCTCCCAAGAGGGCCCCAAGAGACCCCCAAGACAACCCGAAGACGGCCGAAGGCCTCCAAGACGCCCCAAGACGGCCCGAAAGGGCCCCAAAACGGCCCAAGAGAGTCCCAAAACGGCCCAAAAGGGCCCCCAAGATGGCCCAAAGAGGCAACATTCATTGATTTGTTGAAAAGGTTTGAAGGTGTTTCCGGTTTTCGCTTTTTCGGGCCACGAACGGCCCAAGACGGCCCAAGAGCGTTTGACATGTAATTTCCCTGCAAAGCAATTATTGCACGGAAGTAGGAATCGTTTAACAATACATTACCATGTAAAACGAGCGTCGAACGCTCTTGGGACGTTCAGACGTTGGAAGGCGTTGTCATTTGATATCCATACGTGCATACATGCATATATATATATATATATATATATATATGCACATGCATACATACGCAAAATCAATTCACATGTGTACACACATCCCCCCCGAACCCATTTCGGACTCCCCGGGCTGCTGGGAAGCCCCTTTCCCGGACTGCTCCACCTGCTGGGAAGCTCCCCGGGGGCTGCTCAGACGCTCTTGCAAGGGGGTTCTTCGACCTTCCAGCCTGAGGTGTTCAGACCACTCTTCGCTTGAGACTCCCTCGCGCAGCTGACTTCGGAGATGCCCTGCCCAATAGTGCTCGGGCCAGTTTCGCCTGAGACATCCTCGCAACGTCAACCTCGGATACGCCTTGCCGCGTAGCAATCAGACACGTAGCACTCCGACACGTTCACAAGGATTCCAGATTTTTCTCAAAGGTTCTGGCGGTGCCCGTCGTTGAGTCCCTCTCAGGTCCTCGTGTCTTTCAACGCTCTCGGAGGCCAGCCAACTCCCAGCGTCTTGCATCCGCGTCAATTCCAGCCTCCATGCCTTGACTTCCGATCCTGAGCGTTCGTGCCTGCCTGTCCTCAGGTCCGCGGGACTTTTCCCATTACTCTGTCCCTTCGCCTTCCTCCTTCCCACTGTCGGCTGAGACATCATCGCAACTCTGACCCCAAAGAAGCCCTGCCCCAAGGTTGTCCGGCCACTTCCGCTTGAGACCTTCTCGCAACTCTGGGTTCCGGGGCTCCCTGAGCTGAAGTGTTCGGGCCACTTTCGCTAGAAACATCCTCGCAACTCTGGATTCCGAGATGCCATGCCGCAGAGTAGTCAGCCACTTTCACCTGAGACATCCTCGCAACTTTGGATTCAAGGATGCCCTGAGCTGAGGTGTTCAGGCCATTTTCGTTTGAGACGTCCTCGCAATTCCGGGTTCGGGTATGTCCTCAGCCGAGGTGGTCAGTTCACTTTCGCTGAAAACATCCTCGCAACGCTGACATCGGAGATGCGCTGCCCCGTAGTAGTCTGGCTACCCTCGCCTGAGACCCTCGCACCTCTGAGTTGCGAGATGCCCTGAGCAGGTGGTCAGGCCAGTACCGCCTGAGATACACATGAACATGCGCACCCATAATTACATACAGGTGCGTGCACAAACAAACACCTGCGATTGAAATATGCATATGCGTACACATGTTTAGGTGTAGGGTGTACACACGTGTACAACATTGTAAACGTGTGGTGTACACATAGATATCTGTACAAATCGTGCATGCACGCGCGTGTATACATGCATGCGCGCATGTATGCACGCACGCATCCCACTTGCGTGCGAAACTCAAAGGGCCAAGGTGCATGGCGCGCAGCGCCAATGCAGCCTTGTATATACATATATCTCTATATATAGATACACATACATATGCTTGCCCGCCCCCCCACCCCCCCACACACATGATCAGACAGTTTCGTCTACTCGTATTCCTCTCCTTCTTCTTCGTATCCTCCTTCCTCTGCCTCGTCTTAGTTTTCTTCGAATTCAATGTATTGTTTTTATTATTCGGATTATTCATCGTTCTTTCTCAGGCGTCGTCCTCATCGTGTTCGTCGTCCTGACCGTCATCGTTATGTTCCTGTTTGTTTTCCCATCGTTTGCTGTTCAAATTTGCCAATCGGCCGATCGAGAGTTCCGTCTAAGGATCGACCAGACCCGGCGAAGTGCGGGCTCGGCGCGCGGACCCCGGCGATAGCGAGGGGCGCGATACAATTTGCTTGATGAACATGACTTTGGGTTGCGCATGTTCTACAGCCCATCAAAATGTGATCCACGGGCAGTGGTGCGTCTGGCCCCTGCTCCACTCGCTCCTCCACCCCGCTTGGCCTTGCAGAGTGACGCAACAATGTCTGGTTCAAGTGGCGCCCGCCGCCAAGCTTTCGCTTCAAGGTTCCGTGTGCGCCCGCTGCCTGCCATGGCAAGCCTGGCGACTGGCGGCATCAAACTAATGGGAGAGATCGTCGGCGGCGACGCCTCCGCTACTGACCAGATCAAAAACGGGTGGCTGCACATGGTGGCGGTGCAGGCCTACGAGAAGCCCGACAAGCCCGAGCGTTTCGTACCAGACCCAACCAGTGCGTTTTCTCACCGCGACACGCCGCTCCATTACGCTGACAGCGTCGTGAGTCTGAAGCATTTGGTGGATTGGGTGACGCTGGAGGATGGCGCCGCGGATCAGCTGGACACAGTCGATGTGCATGACGCCATGTGCGGGAGCAACTACATGGCGTTGCCAGCCCCGTTTAAACTGAACAAGGACCTTGGCGAAATCGATGTCACCATGCAGCTCTACATCTTGCCGAAGGACGCGAACGGCGAGCAGTACGCGCTGAGGTACGTCAGGTTCGACAACAAGGTTCGGGCCGACATCGCTAAAGAGGTCTTCGTTGCAGGCAGGGCGCTCGCCGTCCATGGGGGAACTCGGCCGACAACGACACGCCACTCAAGCTCTTCAATTACATGATGGACAGGTTGGGGGGGTGCAGATCCACACCTGGGTTCAGCCGTCCGTGGCCGCCGCCGCCGGCGGTGCAGGTTACGACAAGGGAAAGCGAGAGGCGGGCTACCGTTTCATAGAGGAGTTCGGCCCGAGGGCAAACAGCCGCGATCAGTTCGCGGAGTGGACCGACGAGCAAATTAACGACGAGCGCTCGCCGATCTTCGGCTGGCAGGCGGCGGAAGTCAAGGAGTCGCTCCGCAATTGCGCGTCGGGCAGCGATGGCGCGAAGACGCTCGAGCGCTGGGCGGTCGCGCTCAAGCACTCCCACCTGTTCGTATTCGACAACGTCGTGATCCCCATTCTCGAAAGCCACAACGTGCACGGGACCATGTGGATTGGAAAACCAGGGTCGGCAAATCCACAGCGTCGAGAACCATCGGCTTCGCCATCTCCGCATGCCAGATCGATGGAAACGGCCGCGCCGACCTCCGTCCGAGTGTCGTCACGACGAAGAAAATCGACTTCTTGCGACTTGAACCTGGGAGTGCGTTGAAGCCCGCTATCGCGGACGACGCCGCCCTCGAGAAGTGGGCCCCCGATAAGATCAAGGCCTTCCTCGATCCCGCCGAGGAAGACGCGCTGTGTGGGTGAGGCCGCAGGGCGCGGTTAACGCGCGCCATCGAAAAGAAAGCGTGAAACGCCACGCGGCGGCAAGCCAGTTTTGTGCATGTAGGTTTTGGCGCGCGTCGTTTTCCGCGCGCTGCAGAGGTGGGGCGGCGCCCCCTCCGAGCAGAACCAGCCCCGCCAGATCTGCGCCAACCCGTGCGATGAGAAGTTTGAGGAAAAGGTGCGCTCCATCCGCAGAGGCAAGGAAAATATCAAATTTGACGACGTCTTCAAGATCACCGGTTGCAACTTCGCGGGCGAGAAGCAGAGCGGCTACCGCGCGGCGGACGTGGAGGCGTGCCTGGCGCGGTCCAAAGACGCGCTGCTCACTGTGGGATTACCTGTGGTTGGCGCCCACGACTAAGGATCCAGTTCCCCGCCCCCCGCGGCCAGCGCCCAAGAAGCCAGACACCTTCACGCCCGAAACTACCCCTATCCTGAAGCGTTCCAAGAAGGGCCAAACTTTCGCACCACCCGGCTACGACGCGCATATGAAGTGGGCCGCGGCCGCCACGACGGAGCCTGCTCAGGGCGAAGGCATCGGGCGCTCGAAGGCGATCCGCGGCCCCGCGCTCTTCGACCAGAACGCGCCCCCGAGGTGCAACTTCCCTGAGATGGACGGTGAAATGGGCGTCGGCGCCGACGCCTCCGCCGCCGCCAGCGCGCGGCCGCGGCCCCCGCGCCCGCCCCCCCAGTCAACCCATATGACGATGACGACAACCTTGGTCTCGGCGGCGGGATGGGCGGCGCCGCCGCCGCAGATGAGCAGCCAGACGTCTTTGGCTTCGGCGGCGGGGTGGACGGCGACGACGGCCCCTCCGACGTGGCCGCCAGAGCCGCGCCCCCCGCGCCTGCCGCGCCGATCAAGAAGAAGCCGAGGGTTTTCCGCTTCCGCCTCAAGAAGCGCCAGGATTGCGGCGCCATTGGCGCGAGCACGCCGACGCCGAAGAGGAAGCGCATGACCCTCGAGGAGGAGCTCTCCCAAGTGCTAGACGTGGGCGGGGTGGCGGGCGCCGCGGCTGCGAGTTCGGGCGCTGGAGCGCCAGCGTGGGGGCGCTTGCGATGGCTGGCGATCTGAGGGGTGTGATGTAGATACGGCGTTTGCGATTGCGGCTGGAGGCCGCTGAGAGGGGCGCCATTCTGCAACGGGCGGGGCAGCAAGCGGCCAATGCTGCCCCGTTGGAGTTACCTGACCTGCGCGCGCGCGACGTCTCCCGCCGAGCAAATAAGGGAGCACGCGGCAGTCGCGGCAGCGGTCGCATATATATATATATATAGAGAGAGAGAGAGAGAGAGAGAGAGAGAGAGAGAGAGAGAGAGAGAGAGAGAAAGAGAGAGAGAGAGAGAGAGAGAGAGAGAGAGAGAGAGAGAGAGAGAGAGAGAGAAAACAAAAAAAAAAAAAAAAGAGAGAGAGAGAGAGAGAGAGAGAGAGAGAGAGAGAGAGAGAGAACAAAGAGAGAGAGAGAGAGAGAGAGAGAGAGAGAGAGAGAGAGAGAGAGAGAGAGAGAGAGAGAGAGAGAGAGAGAGGGACAAGGAGGGGATAGGTGGGGGGGGGGGGGCTGGCATTGAAAAACGCTGCGCTGCCTGGCTTTCCCGATTTCCATATTGTTTCCAGACGCTGACCGTTAAACAAACGTTGCTTTTTCAGGTTTTCCAAGTTCCCCAAGTTTTCCCAGACACTGACCGTTGAAAAACGCTGCGTTCCAGGTTTTCTCAATGTCCCATTTTTTTGTTTCCTGGTTTTCCAGACTTACCAGGTCTCCCCAGACACTGAACGTTGAAAAACGCTGTGTCTGGAAAAACTAAGAAAATCTGGAAAACCTGGAAAGCGCAACGCTTTTCAACGGTCAGCGTCTGGGAAAACGTGGAAAGCCTGGAAAAAAAACAACATAATTGTTTCAACGGTCAGTGTCTGCAGAAACGCGGGAAATCCGGAAAACACATCGTTTTTAAAGAATCTGTCTCCTGGAAATGCTGGAACAGCTGGAAAAGCTGGAAGACACGACGTTTTTCTAGGGCCCGTAAAGGAGAGGGGGGGGGAGAAAGAGAAAGAGAGAGAGCGAGAGAGAGAGAGAGAGAGAGAGAGAGAGAGAGAGAGAGAGAGAGAGAGAGAGAGAGAGAGAGAGAAAGAGAGAGAGAGAGAGAGAGAGAGATAGAGAGAGAGAGAGAGAGAGAGAGAGAGAGAGAGAGAGAGAGAGAGACGGAGAAGATGGAGAAGAAGCGATCGATGATGGGGAGTACAAGCCTCGTAAAAGAGAAAAAAAAAGAAAAAGCAATTGGAAATCACGACGATCGATCTTCTCGGGCACTTGTTAGAAACTGCGTTCTTCAATGCTGCGGAGGGGTCGTCGGGTTTTTGGAGCCCTTGCGTCCGCGTCTGACATCTAGCGCCAGCATTGGAGTAGCGCCGACCATGCAATCACCGAAAACAGAATCCCTCAGTACGTGTTTGACGAGGGTTGTTCGCTCATAGGCTTCTAAGCCGCTTTCTTTCGCTAATGCGCAGCACGTGTCCTCTCGCTCGGCTGGAGAATTAGTTTGCGTTGAGCGACTAGCTCGCCGCCGCCCAGACAGCCGCCCCCCCCTTGCCGCGCGGCGCTGACGCGAACAGGTTCGGGGGGACGAGACAGATGCATCATCGGCATCGTCGTCTGCGCCATCGACACCTCAGCCATCGACGCCACAGTCACCTGGTGTAAGATCACGGGTAAACGTTCCAATGTTATGGGAGTTTGTGCGTCTGGGGGCTTTCGCGCGATTCTCGGCGTCCGCGGTGGCGTAACAGTTAGCAAATCGCTAGGTCGACACCGCGGAAGACCGTTTAGGTCGTTGAATCGGATACGGCACAGCTAGGGAGAAAGAGTTCGTGCAAAATCACGGGTAGACGTTCCGCTGTTATGGGAATTCTTACGTCTGGGAGTTATCGCGCGATTCTCGGCGTCCGCGGTAGCGCGACAGTAGCAAATCGCCAGGTCAACAACGCGGAAGACGCGTTTAGGTCGTTTTGTCGGAACCGGCGCAGCTAGGCAGAAGGGGCGGTGCAAAATCACAGGTAGACGTTCCAATGTTATGGAAATTTGTGCGGCTGGGAGCTTTCGCGCCGCCGCCGCCCAAGGGAGGGCTGTTGCAAAAGATGATGGCGGGTATTTGTCCAACTACCCCGCCGCCGCCCACTCGGCATGCGCTTTGATTTAGCGCGGCGAACGCCGCAGTCACTTCGATTTATAATTTGTACAACAACTACCCACCCTTGCCCACCAGAGTGTTTTTTTTGGAAGGGATTATGGCCGGGTAGTTGTTGGCACTAACCAACAACTACCTGGCCGCCGCCCACTCGGATTGCATTTTTATATAGCACGGCGGTCACCGACGTCACTTCGACATATTAATTGTACAACAACTACCCACCCATGTCCACCGGAGTGTATTTTTGGTCATGCATGATTGCCGGGTGCTTGGGTAGTTGCAGATTTTCAAAAGAAAGGAAAAGGAACTTTTAAAATTCTTTTCGAAAACTGCAACTACCCAAGCACCCGGCAACAATCCGTTACAAAAAAATACACTCCGGTGGACATGGGTGGGTAGTTGTTGCACAACTAATATGTCGAAGTGACGTCGGTGACCGCCGTGCTATATAAAAATACAATCCGAGTGGGCAGCGGCCAGGTAGTTGTTGGTTAATACCAACAACCACCCAGCCATAATCTTTTGCAAAAAATGCATTCTGGTGGGCAAGGGTGGGTAGTTGTTGTGCAAATAACAAGTCGAAGTGACTGCGGTGTTCGCCGCGCTAATTCGAAGCGCATGCCGAGTGGGCGGCCCCCAGGTTGCCGCGGGGGGGTCCTGGGGCGGCTGCCAGGTTGCCGCGGGGGGGTCCAGAAGTATATCTCCCTGATCGGACCAAGTAGATCGGGCCCCCCCCCCCCCGCCGTCGGCCGCGCCGCCGCCGCCGGCCCCGCGCGTCTTCCGCGGCCGCCGTGCTCGAGTTCCTTGGGTGCCGCGCGCGGCAGTTTAGCGCGATGTACATTGCACCGCGCAGATGGTGCCAAGATAATACAAGAACCTATTGTCTGGGGTCAACGCTGATTTTTAAAGCGGCCAAGCCTCGTCACAAAAAAACAGAAACGCAGTTGGAAATCACGACGATCGATCTTCTCGGGCACTTGTTAGAAACTGCGTTCTTCAATGTTGCGGAGGTGTCGTCGGATTTTTGGAGCCCTTGCGTCCACGTCAGATATCTAGCGCCAGCATTGGAGTAGCGCCGACCATGCAATCACCGAAAACAGAATCCCTCAGTTTATTATTGACGAGGGTTGTAGTAGTATGTATGATCATGTGGGGGGAACCACATATATATGTGTGTAGATGCACATGAATATATGTACATGTGTATACATGTATTGGGACCGCGCCTGGACCAAATCTCGGCTTGCGCCATAACATAATGCCGGCACCAAATAAAATGCATGTCAGGCAACCGCCACGCAAACCTGGAACGCCACACAAGCGGACCTGCAATAGGCAAGCTCGTGTCGAGAAACTTTGTGGGGAAACCAAGAAGTCCTGATACCGCTACTACCTGGACCTCTCCCAGGGTGGGTTCTGACCAGAATTTCAAAGAGAATCCAGCGGTGGACACGAAGGCATCCCAGAAGGCCCCAAAAGACGGAAACGGCCGACAGGTAGCGGTATGGGTACCATTTCCTCCTCCGAAATTTGGCCTGGGAGGGAAACGCGGAGCACAAACTCGAAGACACCAAGAACTACCCGTGAGAATTGGATGCTCATCATGGGGACGTTCCTGGAGCCAATCGCTCCACACGCGCGTCGAAGTTCCGTCGAACGTCCGTCGATCTGAATCGATCTTGAGTCAAACCTGACTCGAACCTGACTCGAACCTGTGTGGAACGTGAGTGGAACTCGAGTCGAACGTGAGTCGAACTGGGCTCAGACCAAAGTCGAACAAATCCGTTAGGTGGGCCCCAGGAATCTCCCTGCAGGGACCCAGGGACACACAAGTAGTTAAATACACACAAATCCCAGGACCACCCATATTTTCCATATGCTCTTGATGTTCGTCTTTCCCTCAGCTTCCCATATTGTCCCATATCTCCATGGGAATCGATGATTGTTTGGGTCTGAGTGTTTGGTCCCCTCCAGTGTACAAACAACCCTAACCCTTTGGGAGGCGACCTAAGCTGGGAGGACAACAAAATTAAGAATATGGGGGTCTTTTCTGCACATGTATCGAACCAAACCGCCCAGATTCCTTATCCCCGATGCAAAGACGAGGACCTCCGTGAGGCCACGTCCTCACCATGCTATTCGGGTTAGGGGTTCTTTGATCCTCGATGATCCACTGAGAAGGCCCCTGCCTTCTCGGGTCGGGTGAAAGGGGGGGATAATAAAAGGGGGGTTTGAGAATCAGCTCACGTAGCCGATTTTCCCGGCGCCTCCAGCCGCCGGAGGCGGCTATGTATCGAGGAATGGGCCCCTCGGTGGGGCCGAAACCAGCTGCATGCAGCAAATTTCGTAACCCCCCCTTTCCCAATGCCCCCCTTTCGTCCGGCCCGACCTTCTAAGAAGCCGCTCCGCCCTCGTGGAGGGCCGCCCCCCCCGCACCCCACCCGCCCTCGTGGGCGCCGCCCGGTCCTCGGCGTGCGCGCCCGCCTGCGGCAGGTCCTCCAGCGCCGCCAGCGGCGAGAAGCTGCGCAGCCGCTCCTCGAGAGAGAAAGAGAGAGAGAGAGAGAGACGCGAGGTGCCGTGGCCTCATCATCACCGGAAAGGAGGAGAAGGAGGAGAGAGGAGGAGGCGGGGGAGGATGAGGAGGAGAGACGAAGCTGAGCGCAAGGCACACGAGCACAGATGCCGTGGCCAAAAAAAGGGCGTCGCAGTACCGCCTCACGGCTGTGCGGCAGGCTGCGGCAGAACTCACGCTACCCTGCCAGAGCTGCGGCATGGCCTCCTGCTCCTCGGGGCACGAAACCAATCATGGCGCCGCTGCCCTGACATCCTCGCGCCGTGAGAGTAAACCAAGACGGAATGCGTTGGCAGAATAAGACTCGTAAAATCAAGCACAACCGTTCGCAACTCCGCGCCGCTGCCTCGCTGCACCGCCCTCACCGGCGAGCGCGGAGCGCGGGGTCCCCGCGTCGATCCGAGCAATTCGCCCGGCCATCCGCGAGATGAGACAAGAACGGGAAGGAATTCGAAACCCTCCTGGGGGTCCACAGCAGGGTTCGAGCTAAACAGTGTGCTCCGTTTTCGTCTCGTGTTCGTTATCCATCGTTCTGTCTTCGCTCCACCGACGAGATCAACACGAAAATGGTCCACGAATCTGCCAACACACCGTTTGGCTCGAGCACTGATCAATATATTCCGAAGAGGGCAAATCCACACTCATAAGAAGCACCCACTGAAAGCGAACCCCTGTAGTGAGCATACTGAAAGCAGGAATCGAGCAGAGTACCTCCAAGACGGTTTAGGAAACCCATCAGGGGGGTCGGGGTGGCTCTTCCTCCCTAAACTCCTGGCGTGACGACGCGGGCGCTGGTTGCGGACGTCGCGTAAACCGTCCAACTGTCCCAAACCTTTGATAGGGGGAAAACAAACCTACCTCGCTTTTGACCACCCTCGTTTCCAAGAGATACCAAACGATGCCAAATTGCAGCCTGTACTGGTCAGGCCGCTTGACGAGGAGGCGCGTGGTATGGCTTGGTTTTGCCTGGAAGCGAAAGCGGGGTAGGTAATTCACGCTCCGATTTGAGCTGAGATCGGAGCGATTCCTCAGAGTTTGGTTTTCGGGCCATATCTCAGGTCTCCAGCGGCCTTTCGCGACGATCCGGGCAGCCCCGGAACGCCCACGGCGAGGCGCAGCTGCTGGAAGGCACTTCCCGAGGCTGGAAAGCCGCCGAGAATCCACGAGAACGTCCGAAAACCTCGGACCTCGAACCCCGAACATCTTCGAAACCAACATTTGAGCGATCTCCGCTGTCCGACAGACGCGCCGCCGCCGCCAGTGGTCGTCCGGGGTAGGGGGTAGGGGGCAAGGTTTCTTAGAAGGAGGCCGCTTCTTAGAAGGAGCGGGAAGCCTTCCCCCCTCCGCCTACTCCACTCTGCGCGTGGCCGACCTTTCCTGGCAGGGCGGACGGATAGGATAGCAAAGGGCAGGGTGGAGAATCAGCTCACGTAGCTGGTTTTTCTAGCTTCTCTTGGTGCCGGGAGGCGCCACTGTATCGAAGGATGGGCCCTGCGGCAGGCACCCTGGTGTAAGACGAAACCAAGACAAGGATGAAGTCGGGAGAGGATAAATCAGGACTCTCTGAGATCCAGCGGCTCTGGAAAACGTCTCGGGCGCCGCGGCCTTCTCAGAGCGTTCCTGACTCCGGAACGCTCTGGAACGGATTTATCCTCGTCCTTGCCCCGTCCGATACGGGGTCCCCAGATGTCCCGACACTTTCCCCAGGGCCCGTCTTTCATCCCGAATCATTCCCCACTTCCTGAGTGGGGTTCTTGTTTTCCTAGAACACCCTCTCCTTCTCCTTCTCCTCCTTCTCCTTCTCCCGCCTCCCTACCGTACCATACCATACATACCATACCATACCAGACCATACCTACTGTACCATACTTACCAATACCAGACCAATTCCATACCTACAATACCATACCCACTACATACCATACCTACCATACCATACCACTACCATACCTACAATACCATGCCAACCACATCACACCACCTACCATACCATACCATACCACACCTACAATACCCAAGCTACCATACCAGTCCTACCATTCCAGGGAAGCCACGCTGGAACGAGGACAGTATCGGGATACCACACGATTTACAAGGTTTCGTGCCCCCCCCCACCCCTCCAGAGAGGCCCCGCCTGAGCGAGGAGGGTATTCGAACACCTTGTTATTCATCAGGTTTCGTGACCTTCCCACTCCCACTCCTCCAAGGAGGCCCCGCCTGAGCGAGGGTATTCGAACGCCATGCGATGTTTAGGTTTCGTGCCCCCCCCCACCCCTCCAGAGAGGCCCCGCCTGAGCGAGGAGGGTATTCGAACACCTTGTTATTCATCAGGTTTCGTGCTCTTCCCACTCCTCCAAGGAGGCCCCGCCTGAGCGAGGGTATTCGAACGCCATGCTATGTTCAGGTTTCGTGCCCCCCCCCCCACCCCTCCAGAGAGGCCCCGCCTGAGCGAGGAGGGTATTCGAACACCTTGCTCTTCATCAGGTTTCGTGGCCCTCCCACTTCTCCAGGGAGGCACCGCCTGAGCGAGGAGGGTATTCGAAAACCATGTTATTGATCGAGTTTCGTGGACCTCCCACTTCTCCAGGGAGGCTCCGCCTGAGCGAGGAGGGTATCCGAAAACCATGCTGTTTAGCAGGTGTCGTGTCCCTCCCACTCCTCAAGGGACGCCCCGCCTGAGCGAGGAGGGTATTCGAAAACCATGCTATTGATCGAGTTTCGTGCCCCTCCCACTTCTCTAGGGAGGCCCCGCCTGAGCGAGGAGGGTATCCGAAAACAATGTTGTCCAGCAGGTTTCGTGGCCCTCCCGCTTCTCCAGGGAGGCCCAGCCTGAGCGAGGAGGGTATCCGAAAACAATGTTGTTTAGCAGGTTTCGTGGCCCTCCCACTTCTCCAGGGAGGCCCAGCCTGAGCGAGGAGGGTATCCGAAAACCATGTTATTTACAGGTTTCGTGGCCCTCCCGCTTCTCCAGGGAGGCCCAGCCTGAGCGAGGAGGGTATCCGAAAACAATGTTGCTTAGCAGGTTTCGTGACCCTCCCACTCCTCCAGGGAGGCCCAGCCTGAGCGAGGAGGGTATCCGAAAACCATGTTATTTACAGGTTTCGTGCCCTTTCCACCCCTCCAGGGAGGCCCAGCCTGAACGAGGAGGGTATCCGAAAACAATGTTGCTTAGCAGGTTTCGTGGCCCTCCCACTCCTCCAGGGAGGCCCAGCCTGAGCGAGGAGGGTATCCGAAAACCATGTTATTTTGCAGGTTTCGTGCCCTTTCCACCCCTCCAGGGAGGCCTCGCCTGAGCGAGGAGGGTGTTCGCAAACAACATTATTCATCAGATTTCGTGCCCCTCCCACCGAGACGACGGCTGCTAGGAGAACTAGGCAATTTCGCAAGAGTCTTGCATGCCATTCGATAGCGTCGCTCTCGTTGTCTCCCCCTGTAAGCCCGCGCCCGCTAAAAAACATGTGGGGAACTTCGTTGCCATAATTGTTTGACGGTCCGGGGCCCCGCGATGACCCCCAGATGCCGACAACTTCCCGGGAACATTCCGTCGCATTTTTGTCGCAACGCGAGCATCTGCCTGGCCGTGCTCCTCGGGACCTTCCCCTGGCTGCGTTCTGACCAAGGGGAGCTCCGGGGCGCACCTGATCGTGGGAAGACGGAGGCCGCCTCTTCCCCGAGGTCCCGGGGGGTCCTGGCTCGGGCGTTGGCAAGACTGGGTTTAAGTGGACCTGTTGTAATTATGCGCGCCGGGGGGACCTCCCCCCCATCGCTCCATTCCACTAGCTGGAACTGCCGTCACCCGAAAAACAGCAACAACGGCAGACCTGGTATAGTGATTTCGGTCCATATTTTGGACTTCGGGGCCCAATCGCTATCTGGCTCCCCTCAAGCGGGGTCCTGGCAATACCCGACTGGCTCTCCTCCTCCTCCTCCTCCTCCTCCTCCTCCTCCTCCTGCTCCTCCTCCTTTTTTGACATTGCGCGAACTCGAGCGCCAGGTCTGCAGCGTTCTATGGGACGAGAAAATAGAAGCACGCTTGCCGATTTAGGCATGGCTAGACAAATGCAGCATGATCAGCGCAGCAGAAGTAGGACAGTGGCTGATAGACAAGAATTAATAATGTAGGCCCAATGACGAAATTATGCGCTGACTGCGCGGTGCAGTTGGGAGTATCTCCCCTACTCCTCCTCCTCCTCCTCTCTTCCTCCTCCTCCTCCTCCTCCTCCTCCTCCTCCTCCTTGTCCTCCTGCTTCTCCTCCTCCTCCGGGGAAAAGCACTGCTGCTGGCACTCTTTCCTCAGAGCCGAAGTGACGGCATGCTGCACACAAACGTTGGGAGGTCCGCGCGGTTGTCTCGGATCGGCGCTGGGCCAGCGCAGGTAAAGAAAGACCTCAGACAATGGCTCTGGTTCCCAGGTCATTACTTAGATCTACGCCGTGTAGCTCGTTCGTAGAGGCCTCATAAATGGGGTCGGAGTAGATGGGGTCGGAGGATCGCGCCTCATCGCCGATGCAACGACGATGCATCGGCGATGTATCGGCGATGCACCGGCGACGTCGACGCGAAACAATTCGGGCCCCGCATCGAGCCGCATCGGCGATGCATCGGCGATGCGGTGCGATCCTCTGACCCCTAGCGACGTCGGCGATACGTCCGCGGCGTCGGCGTGGAGCAAATCGGGCCCTACATCGAGCCGCATCGCCGATGCATCGGCGATGCGGCGCGATCCTCCGACCCCGTCTACTCCGACCGCATCTAGGAAGCCTAGAATTGCCACAGTCGCAAGCCTCCCGAGGAGCAGGAACCCACACGCCACCAGTCCTCCTCCTCCTCCTCCTCACTTTCCTCCTCCTCCTCCTCCTCCTCCTCCTCCTCCTCCTCCTCCTTCTTGTCCTCCTGCTCCTGCTCCTCCTCCTGCTCCTGCTCCTCCTGCTCCTCCTGCTTCTCTCCCTGCTCCTGCTCCTGCTCCTGCTCCCCTGCTCCTCCTCCTGCCTCCTGCTCCTGCTCCCCTCTCCTCCTCCTCCTCCTCCTCCTCCTCCTCCTCCTCCTCCTCCTCCTCTCCTCCCCCCTTCGACTTCCTCGTCCTGGTCCTCCCTCCTCCTCCTCCTCCTCCTCCTCCTCCTCCTCCTCCTCCTCCTCCTCCCTCCTCCCCCCCCTCCTCCCCCCCTGTCTGCATTGAGTCCCGCAGCACGGCTCCCGCCCCGAGCGAGCAAGCAAAACCCCCCCCAGCTCCCACTCGTCGCCCGACACGGCCACCGCCGCGGCGGCGGCGCTCCCGCGGCCGAGCGCCTCGGCCGCGCGCCTGGGGGCCGACGATGGGGCTAAGTTGGGCGTGCCCCTCTACGGGAGGAGTGTTCAGAAATAGTGAAACAAGTCATATGGGAATGAGGACAGCACAACCCACCCCCACCCCCACCCAGGGCACCCACCTCCGACCTGCTGGTCCAGGGTGCCCTGGGTGGGGGTGGGGGTGTGTTGTAAGAGCCGCGGGGCCCAAAAACACACACCCCCACCCCCACCCAGGGCACCCTGGACCACCAGGTCGGAGGTGGGTGCACTGGGTGGGGGTGGGGGTGGATTGTGCTGTCCTCAGGGAAGGATTTGTCTTGTCTGGTTGATCATTGTGGGGCATGCGTCGGCGATTTGCTTCCGCCCCAAGCCCGCCTGTAGGGGGGCATGCCCGACCTAACGCTAGGGGGAAACACCGACTTGGGCGGCGACCCAAATCAGGAGGGCCAAAAACATCCGGGATAGAGAGAGGCTCGTTTCTGCAGCTGCATCGGACCACCGCCCAAGCCTATTCTCCCTAATGCAAAGACGGGGATCTCAATAAGGCCACGTCTTCATCGTGTCATTAGGGTTAGGGGTTCATTTATCCTCGATGATGGGAAGAATGGAGGGGGGGAACACCGACCTGGACTGGAACGATGCCTCACCGATGGATCCACGATAGGCCACGCGACAGCGATGGATCTGCATGGCACCGCGACAACAACTAATCCGCGCTTGATCTGGAATCGACGATACATCGCCGATGAATCCGCGATAGATCGCCGATGCATCACCTATGGTGAAACCGAGCGTTCCTCGGCCGAGTAGGCTACATCTAGGCCGCTCTCGGCGCTGAGTCGGCGATCGAGGGTAGACATCCCCCCCTGAGCCAATCCCCCCTAACGTTGCCCTTGAGACAAGCAACTTTCAAGTCATAACACGGCTCTCCAGCGGACGTTTTGGACGCCCACTGGGCATCCCCTGAGCACCCTCGGCGAGGCGCAGCTGTTGGAGAACATCTCGAGGCTGGAAAATCGCAGAGAACCAACGAAAACGTTCGAAAACCTGCCGCCCTGTCGTGAAGGCCTCAATGACTCTCGCTGTCCCTCGACTCGAGCTGGACCGTCCACAATCTACTCCACAGTTCACACGATATCTCTGGATCTATGGATCAGCCTTGATGCATTCGCATGTGCCTTGAACGATTCGGACTTGCCCGGAGTTATCTGGCCTGATCCCCTGAATCAGCAGGATGAAATGCGTTAAACCTTTTCGGGTTCTGGGCCCATTTCCCCTGAGCCTTGCGGGTCCGTTTGGTGATCTTTGCGAGGCGGGGATTTATCAATATCTACCGCCTGGGAACCGACGTCCTGGTGCCCTAGCGGGCGGTGGATATGGATATATGTCGGCCCCCGGGGGCCCAGATATGTCCATATCCACTGCCTGCCGAGGCTCCGAAATCTGATGCTCTAGGCGGTGATCATGTATAAATTCCCGCCTCGGAATCTTGGATTCCTCAACGACTTCACCGCACGGTCCGTCGCTGCACGGCTCTTGCGCCTCGACGGCCCCAGTCGCCAGAGACATCCTCGGAGAACGGCCCAAGCATCCGATTCCCCACTGACTCACCACTCGGTTCACCCCGAGATCCGACGTGGCGGAAGAATGACATGACAAAAAACCATGGCCCGAGCCCACGACGAACAATCACCACATGTTGCTGCGGCATTTCTCGAACTGGACCGATCTGTGATGGCCCTGGGGCCCCAAACAGGGCGAACACGCCTGGGGGTAGGTCGGGCGTGTCCTCCGACAGGCAGAAAAAAGAAGAATGAAGACTAGTCCAAATATGCTCGAAATACATGCATGGACTACTTTTGAAACTTCCTACTGTAGAGGGGCATGCCCGATTTAAGCCCGATGTGAGACATCGGTAACGTCAAGACCTTAGGGCAGGTCGCTCTTACGAAGACCCCCCAGAAGCTGCCTCCTACAGTGGTGCGCGCGGCTCAACAGGGTCTTAGCTCGTGCGCGTGCCGCGAACATCGAAGACCTCCCAGAAGCTGCCGCCTACATGGGTGCGCACGGCTCAGCAGGGTCTTAGCTCGTGCGCGTGCCGCTAACATGACAAACCAAATGAGGAGAGATCGCGATCCGGATCCGCAGCCCCGACCGAGAGGGGTGAGGGCCAACGCTGCAATATACAGCGCAGTACCTCGCTTCGCAGGAGCAGCGACCCAAGTGCACTGCCGCAGCACGTGCGCGACGTGCCAGGACGTCACATGTACGTGACGCAGCGGCTTTACCCAGGACGTCAACTGAACGCGGAGAACGGCCATCTGCTAACGCATGGCTCTCGCAGCGCTGCGGACGGCCCGCACACCCGCGCCGCAACCGCCGAACCCCGGGGGATGAAGAGGAGGGGGATGGGGGAGGAGGAGGAGGAGGAGGAGGAGGAGGAGGAGGAGGAGGAGGAGGAGGAGGGCACCACCAAATCGAGTTCGAGCGCGCCGAGCGGGCAAAAATAAAGGCCGAGACAGACGGAAAAGGCGAGTACGCGCAACTCGCCGATGAAACGAAAGCCACAGGACGACAGAGGCCACCTGGTAAGTAAAACGTCAGACGAATTACCGAAGGCGAAACCAGAAGCAGGCTTCGTCCGAGACAAGGAGTGGGCGAGGCTCGGCCCTCCATTCCCCCGAGATATGATCTTTCCCCATCTCGAGGGCTTTTAGATACGTAGAGTCCTTACTGGATGCAAACCCTTGGCACTCACCTCACAGGCGCGATCGAGGCGCCGAGGGCTGGCAACGGGCGCCACAACAACGGCATAATGAAAGAGTGCCTCCAGCAAGGAGGATGACGTGCCCTCGGGCACTGCGAGAATCAACAGGACCCTGAGCGGAGAGGGGACGGTCGGGGGGGGCGGCATCACGGGCAACCCAGGACGCCCCAACCCGCGGGCCCCCAAAGGCCCTAGCCCTCTTGGGGGGCGGAGGCCCCCCAGAGCCGCCCAGGGAAACCTGCGCACCAGCAGGGGCGGGGGGGGGGCGCGCACGGCCAACCGAGGCGCCTTCGGGCGCGGGCCCCCAGAGGCCGCATCAGAGCCGCTCCCCTCTCTAGTCCCCTCGCTCCTGGTGAGACGTGGGGAAATCGGGGATGGGGTCAGGATCGACCTGGACACTGGGAGCTTCAGCCTGGGCCTGGACACGCGGGGCCATCGGGAGCCAACCTGTACAAGCGTCAGCTAGGTCGAGATCCCGACGCTCCTCCTCCGTTTGAAACCCCACCCGTTTAAACGCAAGGAGCCGCTCAGGGCCCTCTACCGCCGTAGGCTGGAGCTCATCGTCGTCCACTTCCAAGTCGGCGCCCGAAGGGTCCACAGGACCCGCAGGGGGCGGGGTCGAGACGACAAGACCCTCACCCGCGGCGCCCCCTGACGTTGAGCTCGAGGCCCAAAGGGCCGCGGCCTCGGCAACTCTACACGTGGGGAGCTTTAGGGCCCTCGCACCTTTGGCGGACAAGGCATAGGCGGGGCAGCGGTCACAGGCCCACTTTTGACCACGCCTCCGCACGAGGTGCGGGAACTCCACCACCGTCTGCGGCGGCGGCCCCCCCGCCCGCTGGCCGTTCTCGGCCGCTGCTCGCTTCGTCCCAGCCGCATCTCGCTCCTGGGCCCAGCGCTGTCGCAGCGCCAGGGGTCGCCGCCTCGGAATATCCACGCGGTCGGGCGGCGCGGTGCCGTCGAAGGTGACCATGGAGGCGTTGGCAATCCAGGAGGCGACTTGCCTCGCTCGCGCCAAGGCCTGCGCGTGCCTTTCCACTGCCTCTCGAGGAAGGTCGTGAAGGCGTCGGCCCCGCATGGCCGCGTGGTCCGCCAGGTCGTTGCACCGCCTCTCCCAGGTGTCCTCCTTCGAATGACCCTTGACGTAGGTGACACGGACAGGGGACGGGGTACTGGAATCAGGCGCATGGAGACCTCCGTGGTCATCGACGTGGCGCCATATTTGTCTCCACGGGTCCACGTTGTCTCGCCGAGGACTGCAGCGCCAGCGGCGTCCGCGGGCCAAGCCGTCGAGCAAGGGCAAGTAACCTGTGTGGATGTGGAGCGGGGCAATTCCAATCGTGAGAGCCTGCGGCGCTGCATGCAGCTCGGCGCGTGCCGAAGTCTGGCGAGGGCCAGGCAACGCACCAAACACAGCTCCCGAGTAGCTCGCATCTCCCACGACCACGAAACCCCGGTCTGCCCGTGCTGCAATATCCCAACGCACTAGCCTCTTGCACGAGCCGTCCGTGAAGATGTACCCCGTGACGACAAATGGCTCAGCACGCGCTCCGCGATCGTAGCGCCATGCACTAGTGTCGCACCTCGGGGGCAGCGCGGGCTGGAAGGAGTTGGGGGAACGGCCCCTGGAGTAGAGCAGGTCCCCAGGTACCGTGGCCATAGCAGCGTCCAGCGTACCTTCATCCACGGCTCGCTCACGCACGTCACCCAAGGTAGGACAGCACCAGTAGCGATGATGAAGAGTGCCCAGGGTACCCCAACAGCGAGGACAATGTGGGTTCGTGGCATAGGCGTACTGGTAAAGTCTCTGCTGCGAGAAGTGACCACCTAACACCGCCGTGCGTAGAGCAGCTCTCGCCAAGGGATCCAAGACCCATCTGTTGGCCTTCGCCCCTGCCTGCAATAACCCACGTATAGGCGCTAGCCAGATGCCTGCAGGATCTCTGTGAAGCGGCCCAGGTATTTCAGGCATGACGTCTGGCCGCTGCGCCCACTGCTCCCAACCAACCACCTCGCAGTCCAGCAGAGCGAGCCACCTGACGACGGAGGGGGCGGTAACCCGAAGGCTGAGCACATCCCCAGTGCGAGCCAAAACGCTGTAGCACGAGGAGCACTTCCAGCCAAGGTGCAGCACCGATCGCGAGAAAGCTCCAGCAGGTCCTTTGACGAGCTTCCAGTTCGTGGGGGCGGGTGCAGACGCAATCTGAAAATACTGCGTCCTCCAAGCAACCTGCATGGCGCCCATTGAACATTCATCCGACTGCATCATGAGCGCCCAGTTGTAGATCGGGCCGACCACTGCGACGCACTCGGGATGCTGTGATGGGGGGCGGCCCAGCCGCGCTGCAATCCAGCGTGAGCAACCACTCGGTATCGCATCCCAACCATGCTTCACAATTGCGGTCATCCTGCGTAGCACGTGCGGGGCCGCTCCTAAGACGTCCAATCCGTAGGTGATGGCAGGGCCGACTGCTGCTCGAGCGACCTTCTTGAACTTTGCCCCGGGCGCCCGCAAGCGCTTGAAGTGTCGAGCCCCCTTGTCCACTTTGCACATGCGCCTCCTCGGCACATGCCCATGGCAAGGTTTGCCTGCCCCAACTTCCAGGCCCAGCACTTCGAGCCTAGGTTGTGGACGGAAGCCGCGCTTCTTCAGTCGCCTTGCCACCATGGTCGGCATCTGCTCGTCGGGCCCTGCAAGCAAGGCCTTGAACTTCGCAATTGGGAGACCTAGGTCCGTCAAGGAATCGCACAGCAGCTTGATCACGTCCACCGACATCTGCTGGAGAAACCTGAGCTGCGCCTCGATCTGCAGTGTGAGGTTGCAGCGAAAACGTCCAGCGACGACGAGAAACCTGCATCACTGTTGACTTGGAGGGGGTACACCGTGGCCACGAAGTCGTCCATGGCAGACAGCATGAGGAGCTGGACTAGGGCCATGGCGTATTTGCACCCAGGCAGCACTCCTTGGTCCACCACGACCGAGTAAGAGGTGGCCTGCAGCCACACCAGCCTCCGTGGCGCTCGGTACATGGCCAACGCACATGACAGTAGCTGCCGAGGGAAGGCGTGCTTCTTGGCTGCCTGAATGAGGCGACGCCAACAAATGCGACCGAAGCACTTCTCGATGTCCACGATGGCACCTTTGTCGGAGGCCAAGGCCGCTTCAGCGCGAAGGAGGGCGCGAGCAGCCACATCCTGAGTAGTTTTGCCGACCGCCAAGGGAAAGTAGGGCCGATCATGATCTTGAAGCCACTGCCGAAATTGGACGCTACGCACTTGCGTCCATGCCCGATACACCGCCTGCAGCAGCGCAATGGGTCGCCAGCCTCCCTTGGGCTTGGCCAGCAGCACAATGTGGACGGCCATGAGCTGGGTCGGCCAGCGCCCCCAGTGCTCGGCCAGCCACATGATGTAGATCAGCAGGGCAAGGGTGGGATCACTGAGGAGGCTCAAGGGCCTGGGGGCCAACTTGTCCGCACCCTGGCCCGTGTGCCACTTGAACTGTTTCGCGGCCCGCCGCACCTCGGTGACCTTGGGGACAGGAAGGGCAGCTTTTGGGAGGCTCTGCAAAGCCTCCCGCAGGTCGGCCGTGTCGTCGAAGTCCTCGATGTGCTGCATCTGATAGTCGTCCAGACCTTGCCCAGCACCATCCACCTGCGCAAGCGTCGGGGGCCGTGGCACCGTCGTAGCGTGCCAGATGTTGGCCCATCGGTCCATCTGGTCATCCGCAATGTGCTGCGCCGGGGATGTAGGACCACCGTGGCAATGGACCTGAGCATGCGGTACCCCTGCAGGCTTGGTGAAAGAGAACAACGGTTTGATGCGACCCGCCTCGCAGCTAGCAGCCCAAGTGGCGAAAGACCTTCTCCTGTCTCGCATAGC